GGCCGGAGGTCCTGCGCTCGGAGCCCGCCTCGCGCTTCGGCCGCGGCCCTTCGCGCTCCGGCGGGGCTGCCCTGGCGTTTGGAACTCCGCCAGCGCGCCGGGGCATTGCCCCCAGGTGTGGCTGTCTAGGTTTAGCGCGTGTGTATGGGATTTTTCATCTGTAAACGCGATCCTTCTGTACTTAAACCCGGCTGTAAATGAAGTGGCTTCCCCAGGATGCGTGTGAGCTGAAGTGTATGTAACTTTGGAGAAGACATCATGACCAGCTGTAACTTACCGGTGAAGGAATGCGCAGTCCTGGGTTGTCAGTGATGTAAATTCCGCCGGGAAAATCATTACGCATCGTTGTAGTTTGTGCTTTTTACATGTAAGTTAAGATTCGTAACCCTATTAGATTTGGGTCAATAGACTGTCTTTGTTATGTTTTAACAGTTTCTAAATTTGGCATTTTTATAAAACTCAGCATGTTTTCTTTAACTTACTCGTGGTTCACGTGTACATATGATTTTTCGGGAAGACTAATTTCAACTTAATCAAGTGCCTAGTCACTTTTCCTACTTTATCATAGGGATGTTAAACAACCTGCAGAATCAATTGCTTGAAATGTCGGTAGCTTTGTCGTCCAACCTGACCGGTTGGCTTCATCCCTGACTGTAGTATTGTTTTAGAAATTGAGGTTGGCGATGAAGAAATTCATTATTAGCCAGATATTTTAAAGGGATCTGCAGAAGCTAAAGAGAATGGGCTGTTTTCCCAGGCAGATTGTCAAGAACCTGGCACCCCCACCACCCACCCCTGCTAACTCATAGGTGATCAGTCTTCATCTGAGCCAGACAGACCATCACAGAAAACACTGTGCCTGTTTATCTTTATTATTGGGGCTTTGTTTCCTCTGTGTCTGGAGAAATTCCAAATAAGGGTTTTTTTCAGACCATAAAGCAGAAGAATGATTAAAGACAGAGAAATGGTAAAATGGCATTCAGAGACCACGACCGGTTCTTTATTAAAATGTGGAATGTGGGGGTCATAAACTATAGTCCACTTAATGAGAAAACAATAAGGAATCCAGGAAGCAAGTGTTAAACATCCATTCAGCACCGCCAGTATTAACCCAAGCTGAAATAAAAGAGCACTACCAAAAAAGGATATTAAAAGAGAATTGACTAGAAAGGAGATATGAAAAAAGAAACAAATATTGATTACTTAACTAGGTTTTTTTAGGTTATCAGTAGAATGACCTTGCAATACAGCTGTGGTTGTCGGGATTACAATTTAGGGTAGTTCTTTAGCAGCTTCGAGATACCACTGTTTTTGTTAAAGTCTATAACATTTTTAAATGACTGGAGTGTTCTCTTTAAATTTGAGGTTATGATGACAGAGAAAATGATCTCTTCCTCTGTGACACCAACACCTGTAAATTTGATGGGGAATGTTTAAGAATTGGAGACACTGTGACTTGCGTCTGTCAGTTCAAGGTAAGAAGTCTGATATTTGCATCTTCTAATTCATTAATGAGACTGCAAAGCAAGGATCTCCCTTTACAACCCATCGCTTGGCAATTTCTAGCTATGCAAGCTAAAAGGAAAGCTGGCATCAGGCAAAAGTACTGGTGAGAGAGCCAACTGATGTCAAGAAGGCATAGCTTTTTGGAGACATGCATATGCCACAGTTATAAATGCCATAGAAGTAGAATGTTTCAGGTTGTTCCTTTAGTGTGCCACAGGAAAAGCATGTCTCTGTCTTTTCTAGCATGCACTGTATAAGTCAGCTACTGGGGATAATAGTCAATAGCTAGTGGATAAGAAGTATTGTACGTTTGTTCCTTTCTAAAAATTTTTTTATTTTTTCCATCACCATTCATCCCCTTTATACCCTCTTCCACCCCTCCCCAGCCCTCCCCCCAAATCACCGCACTGTTGTTCATGTCCGTGAGTTCTCTCTCT